AGTTCCTGAGCTGGGGCTCACTTGCGATAGAGAGTGTAAAACATTTTTTCTTGCTTAAAATTACCATAAAAGGAAAAATTTTAACAAAACGGACGCGATCAGGAGAGAGTTTTTTTTTTACTTATATTAAAATTTTTTTAATTTTTTTAAAATTTAAATAATATATGATTAAAAAAATATAATTAAAGTTTCCTTTATATTTTAGCAAGCTTGTTTTATATTGATATTTTTTATTTTAACAGTTACTATTTAACTTTTTTTCAATAATTTTTTTACTAATTTTTTTTAAAATAAAACAAAATTTCTTCTAATAATTATAATTTTTCAATATATTAATGATAAAACTAGCAACTTAAAAATATATATATATTTTTTTTTTTAATCTATCATCTGATATCTATAAATAGATACTATACATGCATTTTTTGCAATATTGTTCTATATGATTACGTCAAGATCACAAATAAATTGCTAACTGGATATGGCAAAAATAGGGTACGAATAACGGATAATGTTGGACGTTAATTAAAAATATATGTTGGTCATGTGGTCATTACATAATCACGTGCATACTTTATCTGATTGTGCACGCGTTTTTTGCAAGCTGATAAAGTTGATTTAGAGGAAGCATGTGATAAAGGAATTTTATTTCGGAGCTTCATTACCCATGGATCACTTACAGAAAATTCTCGATCGACTTATTAGTGAGAATCTTTTTCTCCCGATAGCCTCGACCAGCAGTTCTAGTGCTGCTTTACAGCACCAAGCTTTGAGACCAGAGCTATATGGCGAGTTCGAGCAGAATGGTGAAAAAGAGTCTGATATTAAGGAGATTGAAGAGCATAGGTTACCTATCTTAAAATTGCAATTGACAACAATAATAATATTATTTTGATTAGATTACTGAGTCGACTTTTTTGATTCAAAAATTGTCTCCATTATAAACAGATGGAAAGCTCTCTTTGAAGAATTTTTCCTCGATAATAGTGATAACAAACATGACGATTTGTTATTCTTTGTGAGAAAGGATGAAAATGAAGATCTTGATCCAGTATTCGTCAAACGAAAACCTACTCAGCGAGGGATGTCACAATTAGAGGTTGATGATGAAGTTTTGTGGAAAGAGACTTTCTATTTAAATTTGATTGTTCAGGTATGATGATTAGATGTATCTGTTTTTTTTTATTAATTACTTACATCTATACTTTCTTAGTTACCTTGCAAGTTAACTGTCGCTGTTTGTAAACGGTCAACTGATGAGTCAAATGGACCCACCCAAAAAACTAGCATGGTTTGTTCCAATAAACACGTATCTAAGAGAGTTTACGCCCTTCCAACGAAGTCGCGAATGGATATCAAAGAGGCATCAATGGAATGTTCTTATCCGTTAATTTACTATGTAATCGATGACTATGAGGATATGTTTGAACATTTAATTGTAACCGAGGGAGAATATTTGTGTGTCGAGTTAGCAGCGACAATAAAAAGCAAATCGAATGACGATGAAGATCTTAGTGACATGGACAATGAAAGCGATGACGATTACTACAATGGACCCGCAATCAATCGTCGTAATCATCGCCATCGGAGATCAATGACTAATGGACCATTTCCGCAACCTAATGATACGAAGATTACCTTTTTTCAGGGTGCTGCTCCTTATACATCTTTGGTAGATATTTACAAGCAGAAGACAGCTAGTAAGTTAAACAGAAGGTTTAAGATGGGCCCTGTAACACCACCTACAGAGTATGTTATGATGCGAGGACCAGCTGCGAAAGGACACGCGCAGGTTTACCTTTTTTGTTATAATAAATATAACTAATTGAAGTATGGAAATTATTTAGTACCAAGGAAATGTCAAATTAAAATGGCTTTTTTAAATAGGTGGCGATTACCGCTACGTCTATAAATGATGAGGATATATTGGATATCGCTAATCCACCATCTTTCTCTCTTAACAATACGTCCGGAAATGGAAATTACAACACACTACAAAGCACACAGAATGGAGGAACATCAAATCGGAATTCACAAACGATATCCGCAACTTCGCTCTTTCAAACGTTGAAGAAAATTTCTCAATCTATAACAGACAAATCTTCGACAGATCCGGAAAGCTTAAAATGTTGTATGACTTTCGTAAATGTCCGTTGGGATGATATTATCAGGTAAGAATCATATTTTTTTTCAACTATTTTTTGTTATACTACTTTATATATTTCTGATATCTCATAAATATTTACTTTTCTAGGGACCTCGTAGCATATACAAATAAACAGCGATCATAATTTATTGAATTTTATATTATGTAGATTATTTTATGTTTTGGTTCATTGTTGACGAATGCTTTTCGGAAATTGGTGGTATGATTTTATTTCGTTTTCATAGTATGTACTCGAATTTTCAATAGCATTGAAAGTCATGCAATTGATGTCTCGTTCACATTTTTTAGTAAGTTAATTCAAATTACATTAAATTAGATATATCGAACGAAGGAAGGTTGTTTTCTGTTATACTGACACCATGTGTAAAGGTGGTGATTTTAATTGACCACAATTGCTTAATAGTTGCAAATCAATTTCGTTAAGTCGCTGTTGGGCTGCACTCAAGACTCCAAATCAATTAAGGAACTATTCTTAATCATATTTCATTCTGACACGATTAGTAACATCTATACAGAATTGATGTTTCCGAGTAATAGATACATGTACTTGTAAATCCTATTCTTTCCTTTAAAATTCTTGTGAAAATAAATCTTTCTTAATTTTTTTATAAGACTTTAATATCATTTTATCTATTTATTTTTTAAACTTAAAAATATTAATTAATTATATTGATCAATAACCAGTTAAATTTACATGGTTTTGCTATATAAATTATGTTATAATATGACTTATATCCATTTACACTTGAATGCAAAAAATTTTTGTCTTGGCATTATTGTTTATAGCTTTGTAACTTTAAAATATATTGTACATGTACAGTTACATAACACTAATAAATTCGCAATAATTAGACCAATTTAAAATACTTAAGTATTTTATTGACTTTTTTCAGGAGATAAAACAGTTAATATATCTCTTGTTTATTATAATTTATTTACTTTATATAAGTAAGATTATAGTTAATAGGTTAATATATATTTTTCTTTGCTAGAAAGAGCTTAATACAAGACTCAAAATTTGATTTCCTATCTACACTTCTAACAATTATCTAAAAATATAGCAAAAATAATATTAAAATCTATATTAAATCTTGGATAGCATTTAGTTTTCTAAGAATAAAATAATATCTAAATACTTAAAATATTATAACCATAATATACAGATTAGTTTTCAAGTTATAATTAGAATTTAATACATATGATATTCAAAAATAACTTAATTTATAACAAGCAAAATTGAAATAAAAAAAATATTGAAATAAAATTATTTTATTATATAAAGATATTATAACTATTTTATACAAATTAATCTTCAAGGGAATAAATATAATAAAAAAAAACTCTTTCCCACTTCCTTCCTATGCTTGAAAATTTTCTTTTTAAGAAATTTTTAAGTTGTTTTCTTTTTTCACTTTTTTTCTTTCTCTAATACTATTTTCTCTTCCTATTATTCTTTTCTTCCCTCTTTTTTTTTTTTCTTCTCTCTTTTACAAACCTTTTTTAATATATATTCTCTTCCTCTTTTCTTTTCCCTATTCCTTGCCAAAGTTAGGTTTTTTCTTCTCTCTGAAGTTTTTTCTTTCTAGGTCTTTCTTTATCTTAAAACTGCTGCTCTCCATTTTATCACCCCTCTGGCTAGTTGATTTCCTTTTCTTAAGAACCATATTAAGAAGTGATAACTTCTTTTATGTTATGGATTTTAAGAAGTTTTTCACTTCCATGATTTTTTAGAAAAAGGATGAATAGTTTACCCCCTCCAAAAGATCAACATGGTCATCATTATCATATTCAGTGTTGTTTACTTGTTGATGATTAGATTAGATATATCTAAAAAGCCATTGTATAATTATTGTCATATAAACTTTCAGGAAGTTGCACCTTACTATATTCAATCATATGACAACCAATGCCAGTGTAAAATTTTACAAGTATTATGCTGGTATCTGGGATATCTAGTAATATGATACATAATGACCAGAAATTCTAGTTCCTCCTGCAAACAAAACTGGTGTCAACAACAGAAGTTTCTTATTCATCTCTTAACAATGTAGGTCCTTGTATATGGTTAGGTAACAACGTCTTTAAAAAATTCCAATCCAACTCTATTTATTGGACACTTCTGCTACACTTGGAAAATGTGTATGCCAAACTCTTTATGTAACTTGAAGGCCAACTTGTGAAAAGTGACTGCAGTGCCTTTATACATAAAAAAATTAACTCTCTCCTACTTCACTCTTCACTTGCCATACATTAAGTCAAAGCTGAAAAGCAAACATACAAATCCTAATTATGACTTGGAGACCAATCTGTATATTTGGCTGCAGCACCTTCATATGACTAGATATCACACAAATATGTCAAGCCCAGGCTGGCCACTACTCAAGAGCTTATAGGATTTTCATTGTTTTTTTTTATTGCTTGAATGATTAGTTAAACTAAGATGAAATAACCAATTTTTTGTGTTATGTATTAAACTCTTCTTAGCAAAGAGAGATATAGTTCAACCTTCTATAATTATAATATTGCTTTCTAGTAACCGCTTATAAATAAAAGAAAAAACTGATATCGCCTTAGTTTAAAAAAAAAAAACAAATTAATCTTCAAGTTACAAAAAAAATTTGATATATGGGTAATTATTATTGAAGGCATCAAAAATGCTAGATATAATTTTTTCGGACCCAACTTTTAGACAATACATATATAGTATAAATTTCAGGATCCCATCAGAAAATTTCCAGTCCGCCTTCGAAAATAATTACCCATATTATTATATTAATTCACTTATATACAATAATATAGGTTTTTATAACTGAATTAAAAATAAATTAAGTTAGTTATTGCTAGTAATAGTTAATTGATTATATTAATTCTAGTTATATAAAAATCATATAAAATATATAAATTAATATAATATAATTTCATATTTAAAAAAAATTTGATATATAGTTTAAAGATCATTTATTGATAAAAGATATATATTGTTATATAATTTGTTTTTTTTTTAAAAAAACACTTATACTTAAAATTTACTTTTTTAAAAATTTTTGAACTGTTTGTTTTTTTTTTGTAAAAATCTTGACCATAAATTAATAATTATTATATAAAATTTAATTATTGTTAGTAGAAATTTTTTTTTTGTAAATAAACATTATTTTTTTTATTTTGTTTATATATAACAAGGTATATATTATAAAAGAAACAATATTTCTTTTATGTTGATGCAATAAGTTAAATACTAGCTTGCCTATAGTAACTATATAACTAATATTGAAAAAATTTTTAAAACAATATATCTTGTTATATGGTACAAAGCAGTTATGAATACCTATTCAGTATTAAGGAAATAATATTTGAAAGAGATGATATTAAATTTTGAATACATTTGAAGGAATTATAATTATATTAAGTAAAAGAGTTAATAACTGTTGTAGATAGATTGATAATAATTTTGTTTTAAGTGACATTGAAGTGTGGGCTTACTGTGGAGACAGTGTAATTTCTCTCTGATCTGGTTGGATTGGCAGTACTCAGTGATTTACTTGGGTTCCACTTATGGTTCTGAAAATTGGAATCGAACAGAATCACAGAGAATTGCATAGGTTCAGAACACTATTAAAAATGATAGTGAGGTATACCCCACCTATTAAATTTAATATAAACTTGAGAATCAAATATAGAATTGAAGAGAATCATTAGGATTCTTAGTTCCACTTGATACCAGTGAGAGGTGAAGTGTTGGTAGTGTTATATTGTGGTTTTCAAATTAAATTATACAATTGAGCTAAGGATTCATTTGACACCTTGATCCAACTGGTGGTATCTGTTGTGAAGAAGATTCTGTTGGTCATATTACATAAACATTCTGTTAGTGGCAATTTTTATTATAGATTATTTGTTGTTAGAACACTGGTTTTAAATTAAATAGAAATATTAAAAATTAGAATTAAAAAAATCTCCGCATAAGATGTAATCCATAAATGTTAATAATAAAATGTTATTATATATTCGATTGCCTAGATTATACTCATTATGCAAAAGTAGATACTGTATAATTAATTAATAAATAGTAACTTTCATGTTTTCGGATTTTTTCGAAAACCCCATGCATCGGATTTTCTTTTGTTGATCATCAACATATATAGACTATTTGTATCGAGAGTTTACAGTAACTCGGATTCCAAGTTTCGGTGTAACTCTAGTTCGCGGATAATCCGAGCCGGTTTCGCATAACGTAGCACAAATCTTGCAAAACGTTATGGACTTGAGATCAATTCGAGTACAGTAATTGTCAAAACCAATACGAAATGTTTATATAGTAGCATAATTATTGAAATTATTACTAGCGTTCATACTACTGTATAATGTTATGATTTTATGGCAGATAGTAATATTATAGATGTTTTATTAAAGCATCTATTTTCATAATATCACGAACAACCTTTTTATAACGATTAATTTGTACATAACCCGTTAGTCTGTGGTTCGCCTAACTTGAGAACTGCAGTGAACCATTGTTAGTGTTTTGTAAACAAAACATATACAAACATTAATAATATGGTACTACATATAGCATATTGTATAAATACCGTAATCGATCAAAATTTGTCATAAATTAGTACAGTAACATGGGAAATACAACGAAAAAACCAAGCAAAAAAGATTCAACATTAACAAAACAAACTACTACAATGTCTAATTTTCGACACATTGACGGAAGGAGATATCATAATGATACGAGTGCAAAATATTATCTTCCAAACGACTATCAAGAATTAGATCGGTTGCATTTACAACATTTCATATATCGGCACATATATAAGGGTAACTTTTTTGCTCCTGTTGAACGCACTTTGGAAAGAAATGACTCAAAGATTCTTGATGTTGGGTGAGATAAATTTTAATAAATTTACGCGAATGTTTCTTAAAGATGATATTTAATCAATTTTTATTTAATAAAGTTGTGGTGCAGGTTCTTGGATGTTCAATATGGCAACAGATTATCCAAACGCAGAAATTATAGGAGTCGATATTTCTCCTATTCAACCTACTGAAATTAAGCCCCAAAATGTCTCCGTTTTTTATGCGAATGTTTTAAATGGATTACCCTTTGAGGACAACACCTTTGATTTTGTATTTCAACGTTTTATGTTTACTGCGATTCCTTTAAACAGTTGGCTTGATGTTATAACGGAATTAACTAGAGTTTTAAAGCCTGGAGGTTACTTAGAGGTACAGTATTGATTGCACCATGATTTCAAACCAAATTTATTAAAAATTAATATTCTTATCTGCAATGTTACTTTTCTTAGTTGTCAGATGTTTGTCCAGTTATTCACCGTGGGGGACCTATTTCAACTAAAATATTTGATACCAGTAAGATAAAATCACGCATATAATTTGTAAAATTTAAAAACTATATTAATCACCACATATATACCTGTAGTTTGTGAAATACAAAATTCTCGAAATCTTGACAGCAACATTATCTACAGATTTAGATCATTATTTGAAGAAAGTGGTAAACTCGAGGATATTAATGAGGAAAAAAACGTGTATAATTATAGTACTGATGATGGAAAACTAGGAAAAGCGGTTAAGTCCTTTTTATTTTACACTCAAAGTTTTAATAATTTTCTAATTTGCAAACTTTTATTATTAGGCTATTGATAATATGAAGACCGCATTTCACAGCCTAAAACTCGTTCTTATGCCATTTTTAGGGGTAACCCCGGAAAAGTTTGACGAAATGGTTGAAGCATGCGATAAAGAGTTCGAAGATAATAAAAGCTATCACGAAATCGGCCGTATTTATGGGCGTAAGAAGGAAAATGTTTGACTTTGTTTTTAAGTTTTTATATTGCATCAATTTCCTAAGTTTATTTCATAGAATGTTTGCTTTCATATTCAACAAATATGCATATTATTAAGTCAATGATAATCGTTAGCTTCATGTTTATTATTTATTTATGTTCGAAGATTTGCTTCCTTTAGATTATGTTTAGATAACTCCATAAGCCTAGAATTACAAAAAATATATATTATTATTGTATGTGTATAAAATATATATTATTAGTGAAACCTAAAAAAAATGAAAATCAAATAATCCTTAAAATATAGAAATTTTATTGAACTCTTTCACTATTATTTTCGATTATTAAATTATATATTTCTTTAATTGAGTTTATAGATTAATTATAATTTTATCTAAAATTCTTTCTCATTCTTTTATTGTTAATTGTTCTAATTCTACAATTTTTAAAATAATTCTATCTATATCTTGCTTTAACAATAGATGAAAAATTTTCAATAGAATTTGAATCCAAACTATTAAAAAGTCAATTCGTAATTTCAGAAATTTTTAATTTGGTAATTTAATTAATATGATTGGATTTATTATCTGGCCGAAAGTATTAATTGTTTTCAAGTAATTTTCAAATTTTTTGTTTTTAATTTTATATCTATAATTTTTTTCTTTCAAATAAAATTTTTATACAAAATTTTTTGATACTATTTAAGCATTCTTTTAATTAAACTGTATCTTTGTATTACTGAATAATTGTATTTCTAAATAATTGAAATTTTGTTTATTAGAAAATCGATTTTTTTTAAATTATTGTAAAAAATTTTTTACTTAAGCTATTTTAAAGTTTTTTTAATATAAAAATTAAATTAAATCTAGATTTTAAAAAAATATACTGTATATATATATATATACTATTACAAATAAGTATTAAATGCAAGATTTTATTAAACATATATTTGCTGCCATTACATTAATCATCCTATATATTAAAATAGAATACAAATTAATTGTAACATATTGCAGTACAACTATTGATACTAACTTATACTATGTGGATGAATTTATATCAAAAGTTGTTTTGAATAGTTGATATTTATTTATAAATAGTTAAGTTAAAGTAAATAATAAGATTTTTGTCAATAATAAAAAAAACTTTTAGAAAATTTGATTAAATTGCATTTTGAATATATTATGTGAACTTGTAAAACTATAATAATAGTTTTGTTTTATTAAAAAATTAATAATTGGGTTTTGATATTGTTATTTGGATTTATAAAATCATACAGTAACTATTTAAAAATTGAATAAAACAGATAAAAAGTCCAATATTTTCATAAAACTATAACATTGACATTGAGAATGTTTTAATTAAAAAATTGCTAAAATGTTTTTATTAAACAATATTATTGTTATTATTGCTATAAATAAGTTTGAACCAGTTTGATTGTTATAAAATTTTGTCATAAAATTTTAATTGGCTCTTAGTTTATATTGATTATTTAAAGAAACAAAACTGATTATAGTTTTTTGTATTGAAAAAATTTTGTAAATTTTGAGATAGTACAATATTATATATCAATAAAAAAATGAAAAAAAATTTAATTGAAACAAGCAAAAGATTCAATAACTTTGCTTAAGTATAACTTTAGAAATAATTTTGAAATATTAGAGATAATTATAAAATTATTGTTAATAGATTTTTATAGAAAAAATATATATTGAAACAAAATTATAAAGAATAACTATTATAAATTTTTTTCTATATAATTAAAGAACAAATAAAATTTTCTAAATTATTTAGTCTTTAATCAGAAATTCAATTTTAATAAAACAATAGTCCTTAAAGTTCTTATATTCTTAAGCTTATAGAATAATTAATATAAAAATACAGTATATTAAAAAATATTTCTTTAAACAAAATTATAATAAAAAATTAATAGTAAACAATTAAAAATTTTTTATATATAAATATAAATATATTTATTTATCTAAAGTAGATAAACATAAACTTTTATTTTATCTATTATCAAATTTTTTAATTAAAAAATTTTCTTTTAAGAGAAAAACTTTATCAAGTTTTCTTTATTAAAATATTTCAAATCTCAAGAAATATTATTATTATTAAATATAATATTAATTTTATTAATTTATAGACAGTACAATTGAACAACTTTTAATTTATCTTCTTTTTATAAAAGAGAAAAATAAAAACAAAGTTTTCTAATTTATTATAAGATTTTAAAAAACCAATATTCTTGTTATTACCATAGCCAGTCATATGCCAAATTAATCATTTCCTTTAAATATTGTAAAAACTTAAAAAAGATTAAATCTTATTCAATAAATTAGACAATCTTATTATCTTATTTGAGCCAGAAGAATATTAGATTTCTTATTGACTGTATAGAGATAAGAAAAAATTTTATTATCATTAGGAAATTTTTTTGGTAAAAATTTCTAGAGATTTTCACCCCAAAAAAAATTTCCAAAAATATTTGGAAAAATCTTTAAAAATCTTCTAAATAATAAACATTGGAAATTTTTATTTCAAAAAAATTTAAAAATCTTTAAAGTAATAATAATTATATTAAAATAAATAATTATTTAATAAATATTCATTACTTTTATCAAATCTTG